ACTCATTGTGTCGCGGGCGCCCGCGCAAAACGTACTCCTGCAGCCGACTCACGCGCCAGGGCGCCGCAATGAGTGGGCCGATGACCTCAGCCGAGATCGGCTTCGCGATTCCAGCATTGCCCTGCCGGCTCAAGGAGCTGGCTAGCCTTTCCGTAATTGCGTGGGAAGGGTTAATGATGCCCCCTGCTCTAGGTGCACCGCGTGCCTAGATGCAGCGCAACTTTCCAGCAAGTGCGCGCCTTTCGTCCTGCGGGTTTGTCTTTTGGAGGGTTGGTTGGATTCAAGCTAGCGCAACATTTCTTAACGCTTAGGGTCTTTTGTTCTCCTGTTGTGAATCTCATGCGCTGTGGCCATTTGATGCTCCTAGCCTTGAACTCAAACCTCCTTGTTTCGATTGAAACCCTCTTTTACATTCTGCTTTGTGCTGTGCAGCAAGTGACGCCCTGCGTTTGACAGCGCAGGACTTGGACACGCCAGTCCTTGCCTCCACGGTGTCACAGACCGCTGTCCAGTGACGTTGGCGCGTGCACGCGTGCCGCGCCAGGCAGGGCACTGCCTTAGCCAGGGAACGCTTGTCTGGCATTTTAACGTTTCACAGGGCGTTAATGATGCCCCCTGCTTTAGGTGCACCGCGTGCCTAGATGCAGTGCAACTTTCCAGCAACCCGGAAAAAGAAGTGCGCGCCTTTCGTCCTGCGGGTTTGATTTTGCAAAGTGGCGCAGTCTTTTCAGGCTGTGTTGTGAGAACACGGGTTTTACGTTCACAGCAGGACATGTCGTTGAGCCTCTTGTGCATCGATGCGTGCAGTGTGGAGCAGCTTCTCGGTTTGCGCAAGCCTTGGCGGCACACACCTTTCGGGCTCATGGCGGGGTCAGCATGGTCCGCAAGTCTCTCGATCAGGCCTTTCGAGCCTTTCGAGCCTCTCGAGCCTCTCGATCGAGCCTTTCGAGCCTTTCGAGCCTCTCGATCGGGCCTTTCGAGCCTTTCGAGCCTCTCGAGCCTCTCAATCGAGCCTTTCGAGGTCTATATGCATGTTTACAACACTTTAAGTACAGCGTCCAATGCCTGACCTCTCTGATTCAAGCGATTCCGCCACTTCAAGAGGAGGAGATTGCGAGCATTTGGGCAGCAGAGCGCCGGAAGTCCACGAACAGACGGCTTTATTTCAAGATGCCACCTGTGCAACTTGCTGGGCCTAGGTTGCCTTTGCTGTACGAGCGTGACCCTGAAGAAGAAGCACAACGTTTTGCAGGTGCAGGTGAGGAAGAGGCCGCGCGCGTGACACAGGAGGTTTCTTTGCACCATATATCCCAAGCTCACAGTACATCGGAGAGCTGAACGGGAGCGCCAAACCACTCCAATTGTCCAAAGACCAACTGTCGTGCATGCAGATTTGCATTTTGACCCGGCGGAGGCTGCTCGCAAGATGATTGCGAGTGATCGGCATGTGTCCGTTTCGTGCGAACATGCCACAATCCCAAGAATGTTGCCTTCAAGCACCATGACTGTGTTACTTGTTTACTCTGGACGAAGACGTTCAGAGGATATTCCTTTCTGGCTACACTCAGAGGCGGCTATGCGAAGATGGCCAGTCACAGTAATCAGCCTGGACACAGCGGTGCACGAGGAGCATGGCGATGTTTTCAGACCGGAGGTCGTAGAGTTTTGGCGCCAGGCAATTTTGGCGGGGCGGATCCACGATATTGTGTTAGCTCCTCCATGTGAGACTTGGAGTGTTGCTCGGTGGCGGCCGGTCCGAGCAGATGAACATGGCCCTCCACCTTTGCGAAGTCATGAGTGTCCGGTTACGCTACCACGACTGGAGCTTAGACATTTGCGACAGCTGCAAGTTTCTACAAAGCTGCTTTGGGTTGCGCTAGAGCTATTCCTTTTGGCGGCGCAAGTTGGGGCAGGCTGTGTGCTGGAGCATCCCAAGACTCCTTGGATCTGGCAGGCGGCGTCTATCTGGAAGTTACCCTATGTGGGGTGGCTGAAGCAGCTCCCAGGCGTGCGAACTTTCAGTTTTGATCAGAGAGCTCTTGGTCGTCCCTTTGCCAAGCCTACGACTTTCTTGCTTGCAGGAACCGGGGGCGGAAGACCTTTTCGCAGACATGTCGCAGCACCTTCAGCACCGTGGGCCGCTGGAGCTGCTAGAGGGAAAGGAGGCGGATGGCAGTTTTGCTACTGCTAAGGCCAAGGAGTACTCGTCAGGCATGTGCTTGTGGATTGCACGTATGCTAGCCGAGGATTTTCATGGCAGTATTTTCGACTCACAAGCCCCTGAGGGGCTGAAGGAATCGGATCTCGGGGAGCGTGCCACATTGGCGCAAGCCCTTGGGCCTGTAGGTGTCCGCAAACAGGACTACCAGGCGCGTTTGCCGCCTCATGCTTCTGCGGCTTTTTGGGGAGTGACGCCCTTTTCTGTCACTTTAGCATGTCCAGTTGCCTACGGCGAAAGAGCCATGACAGGCTGCAAATGAGCAAAATGAGCTTTTATTCAGCGTCCGCGCACGCATGTGTTTTTTGCCTGAATGGATGCTTGTGACAAACTATAATGCGTACATTTGTAGATCCTTCTACGCACATAATTAAGGCGACGCTGGTGCGTGGCACAGCTTTCCAGAAGATCAACAAAAACAACGGTTTTGCGATCCGAGGCAGTGATACTTTGGGGAGCAGCTTTTCAGCAGCTCACTCGTGCAAGAAAGCCACGCGGGACTTTGTCTCCGCCCCGAGAAGATCCGGTTTCAATATCCTACTGTTGCATCTTTTCAAGCTAACTAGTTCCTAACTAGTTGCTAACTTTTCGCACGAAGTTATGCGAAGTTACATAAGTGCCTGCTAAGTACCTAAGTAACTCATAAGTTTCCCCCGAACTTATCGTAGATAGAATGTACTTGCCCCACTTATAAGTCACGTTACTGAACTTATAATATAAGTGACGTTACAAGTTACTTATAAGTCGCACGGCCACTTGCAGGCAGGCGTAGCACCAGCCTCACTGAAGGCCATAACCTACACGCAACTTGTGAGGCAGCAGCAACCGCAAGAAACCTCTCCGTGACATACAAGATGTCCGACGAGACCTCGCACAACACCTGCGCCTCAGCTCAAAGCCAATCGTAATTGGCGATAGAGTATTCTATTGGAGTGAGGATGCGTCAAAGTCGGCTCGAAAGGAGGAATGTGGCTAACGGCACCATGGTTGGCATAGACCTTGGAACCAGATTGCTCAAGGTCAACATCACCAAGCTGAGGAAAGATGAAACCAGGTCGCCACCTAAACTCGGATTTGACCTGCCATCCTCCGATGATGATCTTCATAAAGATCTCATCATGGAACATGCCAGGTCAGGAGAAAAGCCAGCCAAGCGAATAACCGCCAGATTTGCAAATTGGAACTGTGTGACTAAAGGTAGGATCCAGGTCAGATCCCTCAAACATCTGGGCTCTTTAAGTTGCGGGGCTTGACGAAACAGGCTCAGGTCACTTGGGATGACCTTGATTTTTGTGCGTTCGGTCTGCGTGACCCTGACACCAAACTTAGAAGAACAATCTTCAGAAGGTGCTCGAAGGAACCTTAGTAAGGAAAAGCACCACGCGCCGGGCAACCGCCTGTTGGTGTTGTGTAGTCTTGGTCTTCCACGCTGTCGTCTGTGCCGAAGGAGCGTCTGAACACACTGAATGCTTTCCCAATGTTTGGATCTCTCGGATGTGTTTCGCGCCAGCAGCTCGACCGGATGTCCATTTTCCACGGACAAAGCATGTGATGGGCCATTTCAGGACTAACTTGTATCCTCTATGCTGCACGGGCGAAGCTCTGAGGAAAAGCCTTTGTCCTATCGGGTTGCCAGGAGAATGCGCCGGCTTTGTCGATGCGCGGTGTGAGGACTGTTACGCGTCATCATCTTCACCATTGGTCTTTCCTTGACGGGGATGTCCTTGATCTCTCTTCCTTGCGATTTGGGCTTCTTTGTCAGCGACCCAAGATTTGCCACGAGCACGTTCAGCATCGGAGCTCGGGAACGTCTTGATGGTAGCAAGGATCCAAGGATCTTCACGTAAGTATCCATCTTCCTTTCCGAGGTGCATTTGCTTCTTGATTCACCCTCACTCTGGCTGCCTTCCAGCGAAGGGTAGCTGGATGTCTCCTTGCAGTAGAAGTGTTAGTTAGCCTTTGGGTTGACATGCCTCAATCCAATCTCGCATGCGCTCAGGTCGTGTGGGATCTCGCTGAAATTGATCCAGAACCTTCTTGACTTCGTCTTTGGTCTCTTCAAACTGCGTCTTGCCTGACCGACAACATTGTGGTTACGGTCTCCACAAGGTTCTTTTTCCCTGATGATGCGTCACACACATACTGTGAAAGAAAGGCCTTGAGCCGAAATGGTTGTGGGCAAACCAATCTTGCGGTGATGCTAGGGATGCAGGAAGCCACAGCCAAAAATGTTACGACAGGCTGCAAAAGCTGGAGGGGAACTGGGAAGGCAGAGGATGCGAAAAGCCAAAGCCAAAAAGCCACCAAAAGCTAACGAAAAGCCGCAAAAGCCAAAAAGCCACCGGCTGCAGCTGGGAAAGCAAAGGGGCAAAAACCCACCGCAAAAGGCCACTAAAAGCAAAAGGCCGCACAAACCCAATAAGAGCCAAAGCCACCAAAAGCCGAAGCCAAAAGCCGCATAAACACCACCAAAAGAGCGACACAAGCCAAGAAGCCGAAATGCCAAGAAACCAAAAAGCAAAGAAACACAAGCCAAGAAGCCAACAGCGACACAAACAAAAACAGCGAGAACAACAGTTCTCTGTTCCTTTGCTTTGTTCTTGCAGGGTCATGAGCGCAGGACAGAACAAGAGCTGCAAGGACTATCAAACCCATCAAGTCTATCAAATCAAGGGGTTGCCTCACTTGCCCGCATTGGCTATGTTGCGCAACGTGCTGCCTCGTTACGCGCAGCCGGCGAATTCTCAAAAAAAGAAGCAACTGACAATCTCAGAATCTCCGCCTGTGAAGCGGTACTCGCCGTTCATGTCCGCGCGCTGGCTGATCAAAGTTACATCTGGGGCGTCAATAACCTCGGTGGCCCGGTTTGCGAAGCAAACAAACTTAAGAAACATGTCTCGTTTTCAGGTGAGTATGAAATGTGGGGCTTGCCTTGTAAGATTCCGTCTCAAACCGTTTGCAATGCTCGAGAAGAGCTACACCTAGACTTCACTCCGCTGTCACGGAGAATTGCCGGCCGTGCCGTAAGAGCGAGCGGTCGCGCACCCCCAGGCGTTCTGCCGCATCATCATTCCAAATGTCGCCCCGGCAAGTCTTCAAGTATCAACCACCCACACAAAGTCCCATGAGTGCTTCGAGTTTTTCATGCGTTATTGAATTCTCAATGTGTCTCATTGTTTTCTAGCGCCGTGCCATTTTAAGCTAACTTTGCAATTGCAAACAGAACAGACAATTTTGTGCGATCTTTTGGACTTCTCTTTCTCTCTCTCTCTCTATCCCTCTTCTCTCTCTCTCTCTCTCTCGCACGCCATCGGGATCCGTTCCTGGTGGACTTATGTTGCTTATCTTTGTGCGGGTTTTTACGTTTGAGAGTAGGTTTTTACGGTGTTTACACTTCTTGCGCGTCGTATTTTTTTGAGCATAGCTTAACCTTTTTGTGAACTTTACGATGCGAGCAGTATTGCTGTTTTATTTTTTGATTTGCTTTACTGCATCTTTGATTAATTCTTGTGATTTGGTTTTAAGACATCCTTTACATGTTTTACAACTATTAGGGAATAACTATATATTTGATAGCATTTACTATGTGCGCAACACGTTTTTGCTTTTCTAGACTATGTACTGTACTTCTTAAAAAGGAAACAGACTACAATGATTTTGCTCTAAGATTATATGCGTTAGTTTGGGTATTATATTTTGTCTTGCTATGACCTTCTGTTGTTTGACACGGACATTTTTGACTAGCATTCTATGTGCCACGCAGTTGATACGAATACTTTTTTTGCATAATATGATTGCTCTTGCGCCTTTACCACCACTGCCAGCCGCGCCAAAAGCTGCGGCCCGCGGGAAACGATGATGTTGCGGATTCGAACTGCAGACCATTCTTAATCAACTGCTTTAAAACTTCTATTCAGTTCTACTTTTAGCTTAAAGTTTGCTGCCTTCATACGCTTCTACGATGGTTCAAGTCAGACTATGAAGTTGTTTTGGTGTCGCAGTGAGTAGTATAGGGTTAACAACATCAAACTCAATGAATCTTGGGATGTACTTAACGCAGCACCCAGCAGAAGCAAATGCCTTTCTAATGTCAACCTCCCCCAAGTTCTCAGCATTAACATTTTTATCAAGAATGCCAACAAGCGCGGTAGTTACACACTCCTTCAGCATCTTAACATCAGCTTCGTTGCAATATGACAAATGGTTTCCTGAAACATATCTTTCTGAAACTTGAACATGGCACTGGCAATATTACTTTGTATCTCCTCATCTTCAAGCGCTGCATCTTCATCAAACCAATCTTTTGATACACTCTGCGCTGCAATAGTTTGTGCATCTTTGAGTTTTTCTGCAACAAAACTTGAACGTAACCTTAGGCATTTGTCCGGGAGTGCCACATTATGTAAGGTGTGTTGCCTGCACGTTGAGTTGATGAAAGGCCTTAACCAAATCATTTTTAGAATGTATTAGGGCGTATTATTCTTCCTGATTTTTGCGGGTTTCTTTGTCGTAATGTGTCAAAATCATGGTTTAACAACTAAATGTGATTCTTCTTAACCAATCCTCCAAGCATGTTAACTCTACCCTTTTGAAAATTTTTCGGGGTTATGTTGAGAAATCAGTCCTGCTGCAAAATGGTACAGTCTGACGGGTATGTTAAAGAATTTATACACCTCGTCCATTTGGGATTTGGACTATAACAGTCTCTCATTTCCAGCATTTCTGAAACCTTTTTGCGCGAACGTGTTTCTTGCATTCTTTTGTTGTTTTCTTTTCTCTTATTGACTCTGTCCCTCCAAAGTTTTCAAGAAAGGCGTTAATCCAGCATTCGTTCTCTCTGCAATGGTTTTGCTGTAATGCTTCTTGTATTGTTAAAGTATCAGCACCAACTTCGGTTTGAATGTATCTACTCTGGATGTTTACATTCTGCCTTTGCCGTAGCGGTTGTTCTCTTTCACTATAGCTCGAGGTGCGCGCTTCAACAAGTTCAGCGCTTTCAGTTCCAATGGCGTCAGCATATTTCCAAGACGCAATTTATCATCAAACTCGCCACTGGTGTTTACGACCAGCAGGTTGTTCTTATCGACATGATAGTTCCTAATCTTTCAACATACGGCTGCTTCCAAAACTGAGTTGCCTTTACGGCCACCTCGATTTTCAAATCGCTCGCGCAACCCTCTGCGGAGTTTCGCGTGGTCGAATCGCTCTCGTTGTGGCTGCGAGACCTAAACCGTTGCCAAGCCAGTGGGATTTGCCCCAACGCAAACTAGCTGCGAGCTCGAAACCATCGCCAAGCCATTCGGATTGCACTGAAGCCCTTCTCACTCAGCGCCAGCGCGCGGCTCGAACTTTTTCTATTAAACTTTCTATTCACAAAAACTCTACTTTCGAAGCTTTTTTCGTCCAAATCCAAGATCCGTAGCTGATAGTTTGCGATTGAAAAGCGCACTATTCAGCCGGGCGCCTCGTTCTCGGCAACGAACTCAAATTTGTCGACAAAATTTGGCCGCCCAATGAAATGGGACTCTGTTTTCCTTCCGTTTTGCTTTTATGGGCTAATATGCTTTGCCATCTCCAAATAAGTGATGGTTTCCTTATTCGATCTGTATTGGCAACCAATATAAACTTACAATCGAGGACCCCTAAGCCCCCACTGAGAAAGTGTCATGTAGGCCAAGCTTGAAGGTTTCATGGACCGACCTGCAGAATGGAATAGCACTTGGCTCAAGGCGCGGGCAGAGAAAGTGCTTAGCCTGTCAAAATCAAGGGTCGAGGAACCGTCTGAACGGCCTTACAACAGAAAGCTAAGTACTGTGTTGGATGTGGATTTATGAAAGCAGTAGGTTTATTCCCTTGCAAACTCAAGAACTGCGACTCGCGCCGTGACACAAAAAATGCAAGCATATTTTCTCGAAAACAAGGATATTCTCGTTGAATGTGTGGTATGCAATATGATGGTTAAAAAAAGTGCCCATGTCAGACCACAAAAAAGCATGGCAACACAAGAAGAATTTCGAATGTCTGAATTATCGCATATGTTTTGTTGAATATCCTTGTAGTTTAAGACCATGTAAAGGGTAGAATGCTTATTGTAGCAGAAGATTGTGCAAAGGACATATTGCGCGCATTGTGGCTGTTATAAGGATGCAAATTGGTTTTCCGAGAGTTGTAAAACTTGCACAAGATGTCTTGAAAGGCAGCAAACGAAAGACCAAACACAGAGATTCACAAGAGATGCGGCGAATAAGCGAGTTTGTGATTACGAGGTTAGATTAAAACAAAAGGCGCGAGTCATTACAAGGTGTCCTTGCAAGGAATCATCATCGTGAAAGTCATTGCAAGGAGTCATTGCAAGGAGTCATTGTTGCAAGGAGTCATTGCAAGGAGTCATTGCAAGGAGTGATTGTTGCAAGGAGTCATTGCAAGGAGTCATTGCAAGTTGCAAGTGCACGGAGTTAAGTGCAAGTTGGAAGTGCAAGGGGCCAAGTGCAAGTTGCAAGTGCATGGAGTCAAGTGCAAGTTGCAAGTGCATGGAGTCAAGCGCAAGTTGCAGGTGCAAGGAGACAAGTGCAAGTTGCAAGTGCAAGGAGTCAAGTGCAGTTGACTTGCGAGGAGTTAAAATCTCTTCTTAGGGCGGCGGGGTAGCGCCGACGACACTGTACAAAAATCGAACCTCTGCGGGGATCGTCGTGGTCGAGGTGCAAAAACTCAAGGTTTTTTGCAATTTTGTTTTGGCTCGCGCGACCCTCTGCGGGGATCGGCGTGGTCGAGGTGCAAAAACTCAAGGTTTTTTGCAATTTTGTTTTGGCTCGCACGACCCTCTGCGGGGATCGGTGTGGTCGAGGTGCAAAAACTCGAGGTTTTTTGCAATTTTGTTTTGGCTCGCGCGACCCTCTGCGGAGATCGGCGTGGTCGAGGTACAAAAGCTCAAGGTTTTGCGACTTTGTTTTCGCCGTGCGACCCTTTGCGACGATCGGTGCGGTCGAGGTACAAAAACTCGAGGTTTTTTGCAATTTTGTTTTGGCCTGCGCGACCCTCTGCGGGGATCGGCATGGTCGAGGTGCAAAAACTCGAGGTTTTTGCGGTTTTGTCTTAGCTCGCGCCACCCTCTGCGGGGAATGACGTGGTCGAGGCGCAAAAACTCGGGTTTTTTTTGGCAATTTTGTTTTGGCCCGCGCTCTGCGGGGATCGGCGTGGTCGAGGTGCAAAAACTCGAGGTTTTTTGCAATTTTGTTTTGGCTCGCGCGACCCTCTGCGGGGATCGGCGTGGTCGAGGTGCAAAACTCGAGGTTTTTTGCAATTTTGTTTTTGCTCGCGCGACCCTCTGCGGGGATCGGCGTGGTCGAGGTGCAAAAACTCAAGGTTTTTTGCAATTTTGTTTTGGCTCGCGCGACCCTCTGCGGGGATCGGCGTGGTCGAGGTACAAAAACTCGTGTTTTTTTTTGAATCTCGAGGTTCTTTTGCAATTTTGTTTTGGCTCGCGCGACCCTCTGCGGGGATCGAGGATTTTTGCAATTTTGTTTTGCTCGCGCGACCCTCTGCGGGGATCGGCGTGGTCGAGGTGCAAAAACTCGAGGTTTTTTTGCAATTTTGTTTTGGCTCGCGCGACCCTCTGCGGGGATCGGCGTGGTCGAGGTGCAAAAACTCGAGGTTTTTTGCAATTTTGTTTTGGCTCGCGCGACCCTCTGCGGGGATCGGCGTGGTCGAGGTGCAAAAAAAGGTTTTGCGAGGAACTCGATTTTGTTTTGGCTCGCGCGACCCTCTGCGGGGATCGGCGTGGTCGAGGTGCAAAAACTCGAGGTTTTTTGCAATTTTGTTTTGGCTCGCGCGACCCTCTGCGGGGATCGGCGTGGTCGAGGTGCAAAAACTCGAGGTTTTTTGCGCTTTTGTTTTGGCTCGCGCGACCCTCTGCGCGGATCAGCGTGGTCGAGGTGCAAAAACTCGAGGTTTTTTGCGACGTTTTGGCTCGCTGCGACGTGGTCGAGGTGCTCGAGGTTTTTTGCAATTTCGTTTTGGCTCGCGCGACCCTCTGCGGGGGCGTGGTCGAGGTGCAAAAACTCGAGGTTTTTTGCAATTTTGTTTTGGCTCGCGCGACCCTCTGCGCGGATCAGCGTGGTCGAGGTGCAAAAACTCGAGGTTTTTTGCGGCTTTTGTTTTGGCTCGCGCGACCCTCTGCGGGGATCGGCGTGGTCGAGGTGCAAAATTTCGAGGTTTTTTGGCAATTTCGTTTTGGCTCGCGCGACCCTCTGCGGGGATCGGCGTGGTCGAGGTGCAAAAACTCGAGGTTTTTTGCAATTTTGTTTTGGCTCGCGCGACCCTCTGCGCGGATCAGCGTGGTCGAGGTGCAAAAACTCGAGGTTTTTTGCGGCTTTTGTTTTGGCTCGCGCGACCCTCTGCGGGGATCAGCGTGGTCGAGGTGCAAAAACTCGAGGTTTTTTGCGGCTTTTGGTGTTCGAGCTGGTCCTCGGGAGTTGTCGCGGGTTCGATTCCCCTCCGGTCCGCAGGCGGGCTTCGCAAGCTGCACGGAGCAACTTGCACAGAGCAACTTGCGCAAAGCAACTTGCAACTTGCGCATGTGCCAGGCCGGGGCTAAACAAGTTTGCCGCGCATCGTGGGGAGTTATGCTTTCAGGCCACTCGTCCTCTAGGAGTTTGACGCAAGGAGTGAACGAAGGTGCGGGGAGCTTGGGTTCATCTACGAGATTCCATTCTGTCATTCGCTTCTGTGGCCGAGGTGTTGGGTGACAAGGGGCATATATATGGGCACGGCACGCAAGGCTGGTTGTCATGTGGCATCTTGCGGATGAGAGTTGGTTCAAGCAGAAGTGAAACTCGAAATAACTAGACTTCAGACTGTGACTGCAGCAAGAGGCGGACAAAGCTCAAGCCCCACTTCGCGCGCTCGCGCGGCAGCTGGGCGCCCGCCGGCATGCCGAAGGCTTCCAGCTGTCAAAAGCTTGCTTCCGGATGAGAGTAGCTTGCAGCCGGGCATCCAGCCGTCGAGGGCATCAGCCTGGATTGCTGCCCTGGCCTCCGCCTTCCGCGGCAAGGTCACGCCGGGCTGATGCGTGCTTTTCTTTCACTCAATGAGCCAACAGGCCATGAGCCGCCTGGCGCTGTCTCGCGCTTGCTTCACGAATGCTTCGTGTAGGAAAAAAGAATGCATCCTGCAGCGTTGGGCCGACCTTGCTTGCGATGTTTTGCTTTCGGGCCAACCGCGGTCTAGTTGTTGAGTGATAAGGGACCGCCGCTTGCTGTAAGGTTGGCAAGTATCAGCCTTGAAATGCAGCATGCCACAAAATCAATACACATCACTAGCAAATCTCACCGGGTCAGGTGAAAGCTCCCAAGGTCCAAGGCACTGTTATGATTACTCTTTCCTTTCGGATTCCTTTCCCTCCGTCGGTGAGTGTAAGTTGAACTGGCGAGAGTAAGCGTGTGTAGTTGGAGTGACGGTGAAGAACTTCTGTGTTGCGTGGCAATGTGAGCAAACCTCGTCATGCTGGACGTTGGAGCCACTTTAGCCGTGGCCCACCTCGACTCTTTGCCGGTTACGACGGTTGCGCATCGTGCTTCAGACCTCTCCAGTTGCCGTTCGGATCAAGTCACTGCCATGCTGGTGTCGAGCAGGAAGTCGCCCGCGCTGCCGCTGAACACGTGCCACCCGGCCCTCGGTGGCCCCCGGTCCCCGTTGTCTTTGGCCCACGCAACGGCCATGTCCGAGTCACGGACCTTGGGTGGGTCACTCGCCGTCACACGCACAAACACACGACACAGATCACACGCAACCTCCAACGAGTGCTTTGCGATCATTGGGAAATTCAGGGAAGGCATGTAGGGAAATTCGTGGGGAAATGGAAACCCATGAAACACTAGGAAATCATGCGCAGCAATGTCGCTCAACTCGTGGGCGGCCGCGAGGGTCGCAGCACTCACAAACTTGCAAACGCGCATGACACCAAGGCGCCCCCTCACGGTCAATGACCCACCGGTCGCGGCGGAAGGTGATCACTGTGCCGGTCCCCACCTGTGAGTACACGGCCCGCGTCGGTGTAGCCCCGTTTCCCTGGCTTTCCTGGCTTTGGCCAATTTGGGGGGTTGTCCAGGCGGAGAGCGTGTACAAGCCACAAACGTCCCCGTTCTCGCTGCTGGCAGCTCGGCCCAGTAGCCGCAGGGACGGCGCCACGCCACGCGCGCTGGCAACGCCGTGGCCGCCCATGGGATGAGGCGAGCGCCGGTCACAAACGCGGGCCTTGCAACCCCGCCTACCCGCCTGAGCCTTGCAAGCCGGACGGACATAAACAAATCTTGTCCACAAACCCGCAAACCAGCGCAGTCGGCGCATACATTTTGGGCGCAGGGTGAAACGACCGGTCCGGGGTCGGGCGACGGGCCACGCCTCTTATTTCATCTCTTTCCCCAACAGCTGCAAATCCTGCGGGGCACGCGCCGACAGCGTGATTTGAGGCGATCTGCTGAATCGAAACGGTCGTTTCTCCAAACATTTTCGAAATCGCCCACGCGCTCGCGCTCCTCTGCAGACAGAGTCCTCTCCCCGGCAAAGCCGGACCAATCGGTGCTGTCCATCATCACATTCAGCAGCACATAGCTTCCGCCCAACTCGGCGGGCGAAATTCACAGCCCCCGTTTTCTTTCCCTCACACTTTGACATACTTAGACCAGGACAAGGAAGGTCACAGCTCCAGACACAATGGCCACCCACTTCTTCCGCTCCTCCTGGCGCTTCAACTCGTGCACGAATTCGAAATCGCGAGGCGCTCCTCGGCCGAGAGGCCGCCTTGGGCCTGCCAAGCCGAAGCCGACTCTCGGATTCTCGGACTCTCACGGGGCGAACGCATTGCCCACAAGGCGGGCCGGCCATGTCTTGCTCCCACCTGAGCACGCGAGCGGCATCCTAATCACGCCTGTGGGGCCTGGTCGGGGTTGGCACTGATTCACTTCATCGTCCAGAGGCTCCAGAGCAAGGAACTGCCGGGCCCGCTTCATGCCCTGAACTGTGCACTCACGCCGCTCTCCTGTTTCTGTTTGTTTCCACTTTTCTGAGCTTTTTTGTCTCTCTCCTCCCCCTTTCTTCTGAGTCCGCCAGCCTCCCCGGATGGCCCTGGCGTCACCTCCTGGAACCCGGCGTTGGTGGGGCCGCTCCCGCGGCTCTCGGGTCTTTCACGGCTTTCAAGGCTTTCCACCTCACTCCAAGCAACTTTGTGTGTCCTCTCCTTTCTTGCCAATATCGCCTTCTCGGCTGCTTCTGCAGCTCGGGGAAGGCTCACCGCGCGCCTCTGGGCAAATCCAACCGTGACACTACCTTCACCCCCCTGAGCCAGCTGCAGGGGCTTGGGCCCCAAGAAGCTCCTGCCGACATTTCGATTCACCCCAGTTTACATTCTTGCACCTATGCCCGCGACGCCCTCACAGCCGTACAGATCTTACAGTGCCTTTACGGCACCCTGAAAGCCCCGGCGCCTTACACCGTTACTCAAGCCCACCTACCCTGCCAAGGGATACAGTTCTTGCAGAAGGCGAATAGTTCCCTCGCCTTCACAATGCGACGTCAACCCTTGAAGTCGCTGCGTGGCGCAGGGCGCTTTCACATTCCTCCAGGTCACGCGGCAACCTCGCCTTGAAAGTCATGCCTTCAACAATCTTCCGCGTCAAGCATGCGAAGCTTGCCCAAAGGTTTTCTCTTCTCCAGACCCTCCACCAAGTCCAAAGCCTTGCCGACGTGCGAGGACGCCCGAGGCCACTGAGTCGGGCAAAGGCGCCAGCGCCGAGGTGAACAGCCGCGCGGACAACGTGCTGGCTTTCTCACGTCTAGCAGATGCAGCCGGCCAGGAGCGCCTTTCGCGCTACCAACAGAACCTCCTCCAAATCAAGGGTCCCCGGCAAGGCCATCCAAGTCCCCGTCGATCACCGATGCGTGAATGGGGCGTAGCACATTTTCACTTTCAAAGGGAACCAGAAAAGAACACCGATGCCATGATGCCATTTCTTTAGGGCCCACTTATAACAAAGAGACACACCCACTTGCGATGTGTTTTGCAAGCGCCTTTCGGACGTTTGACATCATCGTTTCCTCATGCCGGGGCACTAATTTTAGGCGTCGGGTCGGCAAACTGGCGACCCTCTCTGGGATTCCCCTCGCCTTTGATGCATTGTTTTTAGGCACACCCTAAAAAGGGCCCACCAAAAAAAACGTGACCAGCCCTTGACGTCCCAACCCAAGCCTCATCCAAGCACCTGGTGGCATACTTCTTTTGATGCCCTTACACCTTGCGGAACCCTTGCGCCCTTTCGCCTCGTGCACGTGGCGACTACGCAGACCTAGGGCTAGCATGGTCAAACATGCCAATGATGCGCCAACATGCATCAAGTTCTGCCACCGCTTGAAGCATGCCACTCAACTGGTTGCAAGCAAGCGTAAGTCGCAGGCTACGAGCACTCTCCGCAGCACCTTTCGCGGCGTGAGGAATGCGCATTCCCTGCATTGGACAAAATGCTTTAGTTGTCGGATGCTTAGACAGCGACTGATTTCGCCATGTTGCTGCACGGCCGACTCACTTCTAAAGCTTCACGGGTACTGCTACAAACAAGTGCGCCTTAAAGCTTCGAGCGTGGCCGGCAAAGCAAGAACTTGATGAACAACTAAGAAGACTCATGCATGAACTCATGCGTGAGGTAGGGGGAACCTTTTCACTCGCACGTCAAGTCCGTTCCGATTCGGCTGTCCTTGGCATTGGGATCTGCATGTTCAAGCTTCTCTGGCGCACCATCTGTCTCTGCCTCTTCCGGCTTGAGGGTCTCTTCTGGCTGGAGGGTTTCCGCGAGGCTTTCCGGTTCCAAAACCTCTGGCTTGACTTGAGGTGCTTCGCATTCAAGTCCTTCAGCCGCGTGTGGGCCCACCTCAGGCGCCTAGCGCGTAAGCCACTGTCCCAACCTACCAACATGCTAGCCTCACTTTCCATGTGTGTTCCACGGACCCGATAAACGGCCATCGCGCTCAAAGCAACATTTGCATGGCTCATGCTGGCTTGCTTCAAATATTCACGCAAGACTTCTGCAGATCTTGCTTTTCCAAAGAGCACAAGTGGCCCAACTCTGCAAACAGCGGGCGCCTAAAAACCCGAGAGAACCAAATGCTTCCTTATCCGAAGCGTACCGTTCAAATATCTTCCCGTCAAGAAGAGGGGGACCGATACCCGACGCCTCTGAGCGATGGCGCCGGAACCGAGACCGAAATCAACCGTGCTAACATAAATGTTTAAGCGGATTGGATTGCTTTGCGTGGAAGCATCTTATAAACAGATCCGCGGCCAAGTCCAGGAAACACTTGCTCAAAATCACAGCACTAGAAGGCTCCGCGAAATGCAGCGCCTGAACACTCAGCTTCGTGAGCCTAAGCGAGTCAGCTAAGTTAAGCGACCGGAGCCAAATATAAGGCAGTAGCCTGCGGAGGCCCGACCGCTAAACCTATCCAAGTTACACCAGCAGAGACCCCAAACAGTTGATGACTGACGGGCAGGCACAAACATGCCAACAACTTGTGGCTTTCTGCGCTTCGACACGGATGAATCAAAATGATGCAGTCGTGAACCTGGCACGCGTTGCGTTGCTGCACGTGTGTTGCTGGCGTGCTTCGCGCTTCAGCACCGCGCCAGAACTGAGGGTGGGCAAGCGCGTGCGATACCGGGCGAGCGCGCGTGTGTGAACGCAAGTGTGGCTGCGCAAGCGCGCGGTCACATGGGCAGTTCAGACACACATGCCCAATTCAGACACACATGTGCGTACACGTGGAACACACATCCGCCGACCCCTTCTCCTCCAAGGGGGAGGCGCGTGGGAAGGGCGATCGATGATCATCATCACTGCTATGCCATCATTCCTGGCGGCGCTGGGGATGCGTAATGATGATGATGGTCACGACTATCTCTTAATATATATCTCAAAGGCTAGACGCGGCTGCAACAGGAAGAAGTACAGTTATCGTCATAGTCGTCATCAGCTGCCACAGGCGTCGCCGGGGACGTTCTTCGTGATGTTCGGTGATGCTGGCAAGAGGATTATCACCACTGTTGGCGTGTTGTTCGTGATGCTGGCGACGTGTGGCCGGTCCATCCGACCCCTTCCGCAAGTAGTAGGATTCGTCGGATTTGTAATGCTGGTGAATCATCATGACTGCTCGCGGTCCCGTTATAGAGCCGACTGGAGATGCAGCATGATGATGCTTAGTATCATCACTGACGAGCGCTAGTGATGATTCTCATCATATCATCATCACATCATCCTCATCATCATTGTCGTCCTTCTCTTGTTCCTTTACGTTTCAAACGTTACGTTAGACCCGATTGGAGATGAAGAGTCATGATTATCATCGTGGCTGTTGGTGATGCAGAGGATGCACGATGATACTTATCATCATCACTGATGTTGGGGACAAGCGCTGGTGGTGATTCGATGCTGGCGATGCGTGGCCGGTCCATCTGACCCTTCCGCAAGTGGTCGGACTCGTCGATGCTGGTGAATCATCATGACTGCTGACGGTCCCGTTAGAGCCGACTGGAGATGCAGAGGATGCGTAGTCATGATTTTCATCATGACTGATGGTGATGCAGAGGATGCACGATGATGCTTATCATCATCCCTGATGGACGCTCATCAAATCATCGTCGCATCATCATCATCATCATCATTATCGTCCTTCTCTTTTTCATATATGTTTCAACCGTTACGTTAGACCCGATTGGAGATGCAGAGATGATGCGTAATCATGACTATCATCATGACAGTTGGTGATGCAGAGGATGCACAATGATGCTTTTCATTGTCACTGATGCTGGGGACAAGCGTTAGTGATGGTTCTTATCACTGCACAAGATGCGTGGACATGAGTATCATGATGATTGCTGGACACGCATCATCCTTATCAGCCTCGTCGTGAATACCATCATCATCATCGTAGTCATCGCCATCTCTTTCTATGTCCTTTACTATACATTTCAAGTGTAGTGTTAGGCACCATTGGTCATGCAGAGGATAGTCATGATTCTCATCATGACTGTTGGTGATGCAGAGGATGCACGATGATGCTTTTCATCATCACTGATGTTGGGGTTAGTAATGCGGAGGATGCATGATGATGTTTATCATCATCACTGTGTTAGACCCTATTGGAGATGCAGGGGATGCGTAGTCATGATTATCATTATGACTGTTGGTGATGCAGAGGATGCGCGGTGATGCTCATCATCATCACTGATGTTGGGGACGAGTGCTAGTGATGACTCTCATCACATCACCATCACATCATCATCATGATCATGGTAGTCATCACCGTTTCTTTCTATTTCTAAAGTGTTGCGTTAGACACCATTGGTGATGCAGGATGCGTAGTCATGATTGTCGTGATGACTGCTGGCAATGCTCAGGATGCGTCATGATGATTATCATCCTACTTGAAATGCCAAAGATGCGTGGACATGCGTCATGATGATCATGATCATTAGCTGAATTGGTTTGCAAAAGATGCGTGGACAAATAATGATGATGATTCGTGGACGGTTATATGACTATCATGATAACTGCTGGACAATGAGCATTACAGTCATCATCCTTGTCACCCTCGTCGTCAACATGAAATTCATCATCATCTTGGTCATCATCATCATCATCATGGCACCTATCATCGTAGCATCTTCTGTGGTTAGGGCATTATCACAACTGCTGGTGTGTATTAGGAACCATTGCTGATGCAGAGGATGCTGCGACGGTAGTCATCATCACAATCCTCATCCTTGTTGGTGATGCAGAGGATGCTACAATAATAGTTATCATCACAGTCTTCATCCTTATCACCCCTATCCTCATGGTCATCATCATCCCTGGTTAAACAGCATTGTGATGCAGAGGATGCTACGATGATAGTTCCTGTCAAGAGACGGCAAGGTGACGTCCCGTGGGACGCTGTCCACCGAACCCTCCAGCTGTAAATACCAACCACGTAGAAAGGTGTATACGCTCAAACCGTTATAGCCGAACCCGTGTAACTGTTGTAAGGGAGAAGGAATAATAGTTACAACAGTGGTCCTGACAAATGCAGCGCAAGCGAAGTGTTTTCCGCTCTCAATTGCCGATCACGTATGAACGCAGCTTCACATAAGATCTTGAACCTCACTTGTGACTTGAGCCAAATGGCAATCAATGGAACCTTGTAAGCAATACAAACACGGACCTCAGAACTGCTTCCCAATTTAGGCACGGGGCCAGGAGGGTTTTAACATCCCCCATTTGGGTCGCATTGTTCATCATGCGGTCCAAACACCACAAAACGTTCCAATGGCCACGGCTTCAGCTACGAAACTGTGTCGAACACTCTTTCATTCACTATTGCTACACCGTCCATTCATTGTGAAACTTGCCAGGTCCAATCAAGGCAGAAACATGCATCCACAAATCGTAGCACATTCCTATACTCAGATGCAAGAGACATTTTGCCTCTAGCCAATACGCAACCACTTGAAATCCCGGCTGCCGCATTTGCGCATCGCGCAGCCGTCATCCACAGAAATGGGTTGGCCATAGAAATCCATAGCAGCGCACGGTCATGAGCCATCTGAATATCATGGGTAATAGTTCCATCCATGAATATCCGGAATGTCATAGCCGTCGGAATATGTAAATGTATACACATCCATTCATCTTGGACGCATGAAATCATATCATGATGTAGAGTCGTTCCATCGCAATGACATTGATGAGACGCAAGCAATAGATGGGGACTAGCCCACATCATGCCGCAATCAACATCGGAGTGAATATATGTATCGCAGTTGGTGGGCGCACCGCACCGTATAAGCAATAATAATCCACATCTGCATTACGCATACCTGTCTCCAATGGACAGTCTGTGGGTACGTCGACGGAACTCTTCGTCCAAATTCTTTTGGGCTTCTCGCGCCCGGACACACTTCTTATGATGATCTTCTGGCATCCAATGCCCCATTCGTAGGCACCAATCCAGCAGAGGTGTGTCGCATTTGTTCGGGTCAGTGGCTGCAATAATGGCGCTCACATTGACCGAATAACCATGTCTGCCAAGGTTCAGGCCTTCCCTTACGAACGATATATATTTACAGTTGAAAGCCAGGGAGAAGCATCTGTAAATGATATCACCCACCGGGTGCACGCGATCCTTGACCAGGAGCTTCATTTCGTCTTTGGTGATGTCGAGGATTCTCGCTGCAATCCACAGCTTGTAAAATATGTATAGCCCCTCGCACTTGCATACCATCAGACGAATGTATTCATTACGCTCCTCAGCCGACCGGAAGGTCCTTTCTCGAACGTTCTGAGATTGAGAAATCTTCAGTACCGTCGATGGCAAAAGGATCCCTTCCTGATCAATCTCCGTAATGTTGGGGTACTTCTTGAAGTCGTTGTGGTATGGGCAGCCTTGCTTCCCTTCGAGCGCGGCATCGATCATTCTCTTTTCACCACCTTCGAACATCCCCCACATTGACATCTGCAGCGCGATGAACCCCGCCATGTATTGAGCTTCGCGCGGCTCATCAAGGCAAATCGCCATCCGCTGGGAATTAATGATATCCCGCGATGCCAAGTCATTGTCGCGGTATTGCCAACCGCCATCTTCTTCCTCAGACATGTAGCCGGACGTGTATCCTTGCGTGTCCATGTCGTCGTCCTCAGGAACGTTCTCCGCCTCATCATCCTCTTCCTGTGCTGCCGCACCATGGTTGGCTTCGTCTTGTGCGCGCCTGGCATCACCCGAAACATTGGGCCTTTGGTTGTCCCCATCGTCGTCGGAACTGATGTGCATGCAGAATTTCCCGGTAGAGATCAATTGCGCCCCACACTCCAGGCACACACAGAAGCATGTGGGAATCGCGGTCGCACAT